GGAGATTCTCTCCTCTCTAATTATTTTTTTTGTTGTCCAATGTAATTTCTTTCTGTTTATAGTAGAGACGTCTCCTGCCTCTTGCTCAAGGCCAAGCTCCCAACTCCCCGACCTCCAGCGATCCCTCCCTCCCCGCTCCCCCCCCCCAACCAGATGCCGGGAGACCGACAGCGTTAGCCCCCGCGCCCGCCTGTTTATTTCGTCTTAGATTCAGTGATCACGCCGGCTACTCGCTGCTCCTGTTGTGCCTCAAGGCGAGACAAGCCAGGGCGCCCCTGGCACGCTGGCCAAAGCTGGTGACCTTCCGCAGCTCAGCGAGTCCCTCAACCACGGCGGACGCTTCAGACCATCCCGCCCCGAGGACCAGTCCGCCAGCGAGATCACTCGGTACGGGCCCCCGCTGGGGCCCAGGGTGGCGTTTCCTGCCGGCCACGGGGCAGTTTAATCCGAGGGCCCGAAAACCGTCGTGGGACCGTGTACACCGTCTCAAGTTTGAAAATTAATAATAACTGCGGAGGCCGGGCGCGAGGCCTCACGCCCTGTCAATCCCCGGCACTCTGGGAGGAGGCCGAGGAGGGAGATCGCGCTCGAGTAGGAGGTCGAGGCCGGCGAGCAGAGCGAGACCCCGTCCCTCTAGTAAAATAGAAAAGAAATGAGCTGGACAACTAAAGTATATAGAAAAAACGAGCCGGGCGTGGAGGCGCATGCCGAGTCCCACAGCTACTCGGGAGGAGGCTGAGGAAGAGAATTCGCTGAGCCCCGGAGACTAGGTTTGCGACGCCACGCACTCACCTCTACCCGGCGACAAAGTGAGACTCCGTGTCTCAAAAAAATTAAAATATAAATAACTAGGGAGCCAGGCGCGAGGCCTCACGCCTGTCATCCCAGCACTCTGGAGGCCGAGGTGAGGCTAGCTCGAGGCCAGGAGTTGGAAGGCCCAGCCTGAGCAAGACGAAGACCCCCGTCTCTACTAAAAATAGAAAGAAAGGACTTAAGATGACTAGAAAATATATATATATAATATATACGATAAAAAATGACCGGGCGTGGGGCGCATGCCTTAGTCCCAGCTACTGGGGAAGAGGCCGAGGCAGAGGCTCGCTGAGCCCAGGATCGGAGGCCGGCTGTGAAGCGAGGCTGAGGCCACGGCGCTCCACATCTAGCCCAGGCGACATTAGCGAGACTCTGTCTCAGAAAGAAAAAAAAAGAACTGTGTTGAAATGGATTATAGCTCAGCACCGTAAGTTGAATAATGTGAAAATACACAAGCTTTTGTCATCAGCAGCTTGGAATTTGTTTTTTTTTCCAAGACAGAGTTCGCTCTGTCGCCCGGGCTAACACCTGAAGCCGCCGTGGCGTCAGCCCTCGCTCACAGCGGCCTCCGACTCCTGGCCTCAAGCGAGCCCTCCAGCTCGGCCCTCCCTCCCGAGTAGCTGGACTCAGGCATGCGCCTCCAACGCCGCTCGTTTTTTCCTAATATATTTTTAGTCATCTAAGTCATGTCTTCTATTTTTAGTAGAGACGGGTCTCGCTCTTGCTCAGGGCTGGCCTCAACCTCCCTGACCTCCAGCGAGCCTCCCCGCTCCGGCCTCCCTCCCGAGTTAAGCTGGGACGACAGGCGGAGCCACCCACGCCGGCTCATTTTTTTCTATATATACTTTTTAGTTGTCCAGCCTCATTTTCTTTTTATTGTTAATTATTTGGAAACTTTTTTTCAGTTGGCCAAGTTCATTTCTTTCTATTTTAATTATTCTGTTTTGCTGCCAATAATTTGTTTGTTTTTTCTAATTATTTTTCAGTTGGCCAATTAATTTCCTTCTATTTTGATTATTTTTAATTCTATTTTTTATTGCGCCAATCATTTCTTTCTGTTGTAATTATTTTTTTTTACTTGGCAATTCATTCTTTCTATTTTTAATATTATTTTCAGTTGGCCATTCATTTCTTTCTATATTTAATCATTTTTAATTTATTTTTTAGTTATGCCAATTCATTTCTTCCCATTTTTAATGTAATTTTTTATTTTTTTTTTAGTTGGCCAATCATTCTTTCTAATTTTTAATCATTTTTAATTGTATTTTTTAGTTAGCCAATTCTTTTCTTTCTATTTTTAATGTATTTTAATTTTTTTTAGTTGGCTCCACCTCATTTCTTTCTATTTTAATCATTTTTAATTATTTTTTAGTGGCCAATTATTTTTCTATTTTTAAATCATTTTAATTTTTTTTAGTTGCCAATTAATTTCTTTCTAATTTTTAATTAATTTAATTATGTTTTTTAGTTGGCCAATTCATTTCTTTCTATTTTTAATTATTTTTTTTTCAGTTGGCCAATTCATTTTCTATTTTTAATCCTTTTTAATTCTATTTTTTAGTTGGCCAATTCATTTCTTTCTATTTTTAATTATTTTTTTTTCAGTTGGCCAATTCATTTCTTTCTATTTTTAATCATTTTTAATTATTTTTTTTTTCACTTGGCCAATTCATTTGTTTCTATTTTTAGTCATTTTTAATTATTTTTTTTAGTTGTCCAATTCATTTCTTTCTATTTCTGATTATTTTTCATTATTTTTGTTGCTGTTGTTGTTGTTGTTGGCCAATTGATTCCTTTCTATTTTTTAGTAGAGACACGGGGGTCTCGCTCTTGCTCAGGCTGGCCTCCACCTCCCGGCCTCCAGCGATCCTCCCGCCTCGGCCTCCCGCAGTGCTGAGATCACAGGCGTGGGCCTCCGCAGCGCCCGGCTAAATTTTTCTGCGTATATTTTTAGTTGGCCGATTAATTTCGTCCTATTTTTTTTTGTTGTTGTTGTTAGCAGAGACGGGGGGCGGGTCTCGCTCCTGCTCAGGCCCGGCCTCCGCCTCCCGACCTCGAGCGATCCTCCCTCCCCGGCCTCCCAGCCTGAGCCTCCTCTCCCGGCCCTGCACCTGGGATTTAATTTTACCTTTTTTTCCCCCCCCGAAATGCACTTTTTTTTTTTTTTCCTGAGTCGCGTCCGTCCCTCCTTTTTTCTCCCCCGTCTCTCTGCTCCAGGGCCTTCGACACCTTAGCCAAAGCTCTCACCACGGCGGACAGCGCCTCGCCCCCCAGCCTCGGGGACGGGGTGGACGCGGGCGGCGGGGGCGGCATCCACGTCATCGGCAGGGACCAGTCCACCCCCATCATCGAGGTTGAGGGGCCTCTCCTCTCCGACACCCACGTCACCTTCAAGGTGGGTAGCTTCGGCCCCGGCCTCCCCTCCCGGCCTCCCCTCCCTGACCTGCTCTGCGGCTGACGGCGGTCGAAAAATTCCAGGCCGGGTGCAGCGGGGGGGTGGGGGGCTCAGGCCTGTCGTCCCCCGGCACTCTGGGAGGCCGAGGAGGGAGGATCGCTTGGAGGCCAGGAGGTCGAGGCCGGCCTCTGAGCAAGAGCGAGACCCCGTCTCTACCAAAAAAAAAAAAAAAAATAGAAATTAGCCGGGCAACTGAAAATATAGAAGAAAAAATGAGCCGGGCGTGTTGGCGATGCCTGTAGTTCAGCTTGCTCGGAGGGAGGCCGAGGCCGGAGATCGCTCACGGTCAGGAGTTGAGCCAGGCTGTGAAGAGCGACGCCCCGTCTCTAGTAAAAAAAAAAATAAGAAATGAGCTGGACAACTAAAAATATAAATAAACGATTAGAAAAAACGAGCAGGCACGGAGGTGTGTGACTATAGTATCCAGCTACTTTGGAGGCGAGGAGGAGGAATCGCTCAAGGACAGAGTTGGGCCAGCCTCAGCAACAGCGAGCCCCTGTCTCTACTAAAATGTATAAAGAAACAATTGGCCAAGATAAAATAATATGAAAATGGCGGGCGTCGAGGCACTCACGCCTGTAGTCTCAGGTTTGGTGGAGGCGAGGCGGGAGGATCGCTCAAGGTCCAGGAGTTTGAGGCCAGCTGAGCAAGAGCGAACCCCGTCTCCATTAAAAATAGAATAGGGGAGTTAACGACAACTAAAAGTATGGAGAAAAAGAATGAGCGGGCGTGGAGCTCACGCCTGTCTCCAGCTACTCGGGAGGGAGGCCGAGCGGGAGGATCGCCGAAGGTCGGGAGTTGAGGCCAGCCTGAGCAAGAGCGACAGCCCGTCTCTTAATAATAAAAGATTAGGCTGGACAACTAAAAAATAAATAGAAAACTGAGCCGGGCGTGGGGCGCGTGCCTGTGGTCCAGCACTTGGGAGGGAGGCTGAGGCGGGAGTATTGCCTCGAGGCCAGGATTCCGAGGTCAGCTCAGCAAGAGGAGACCCCCGTCTCTACAAAAAAATAGAAAGAAAGAGGAACAACTAAAATATATACAGAAAAAACGACCGGGCGTGGGAGGCGCATGCCTGTAGTCCCCAGCTACTGGGAGGGAGGAGGCTGGAGGCGGGCTCATTGCTGGAGGCCAGGAGTCGGAGCCGCTGTGAGCGAGGCTGACGCCACGGCGCTCTCTCCAAAAAAAAAATGGGAGTACGGACTGCCGGCTGCCCCTGCGTTGGCAGCGCAGCGCAAGGCCGGAGCGCAGCTGGGCTCGCCGGCCTCAACCCACGCGCCGGCCTCCCCGTCCCGCCTGACATGCAGCCCGATGCCCGAGTACCTCAACGGATACATCTGCGAGCCGCTCGCGCTCTGCTCTTCCTGTCCATGCACCTGGGCCCGCTCCACTCCGCCTTCCAGGCGCTCTGGTAAGTGGCGCTCTTCCCCTCATGCTCCTGCTTGCTGCTCCCCCACGCCCGGGGCCTGTTCCCTGCCCCCGGGCGGATTATGTGGAAAAACTAAACTAATATAGAAAAAAACTAGCCGGGCGTGGAGTTCAAGCCTGTGTCGTCCCAGTCTCTGGAGGAGGCCGAGGAGGGACGGATGGCTT